CTCCGTCCGTCTGTCCGTCTGTCTGTCAGTCCGTCAGTCCGTCCGTCCACAAAACTGGATCCCGCGATAACGCAAAAAGTACTGAAAATATTTTTATGAAACTTGATATATGGATAGATGGCAGTATGGAGATTATGCACGTCTTTTTTTTTTCTTCCTATGTTGAAAATTCTGGTTGCTATGGCAACAAATAGTCTGAAAATATGGCAAATTTAACACATAAACTGGATCCAGTGATAACTCAAAAAGTACTGAAAATATTTTTATGAAACTTGAAATATGGCTAGATGGCAGTCTGGAGATTATGCACATCTTTTTCTTTTCTTCTTATGTTGAAAATTCTGGTTGCTATGGCAACAAACAGCCTGAATTTCAAGATTTCTGATTTAAATTTTTCAGCTTTTTCACTATATGTTCTTTATTTCTTAAGGTGTTTACTTCAAACTTTAAATATAAGTTTCTGGTCATCAACCACATCATATGTGACAAGGTTTATAACTCTAGCACAAAAAATATCAGTATTACCTCCCTTGAAAAAATGTTGTCTTTTTTAAATAACTTCTTTATTTCCTAATGTATCTACTTCAAACTTCATATATATGTTTCTTATTATCACTCGACATTTTTGAGAAGGTTAAATACTCTAGCAAGACTATTTCCAGAATTATGTCCCCCTTGCAAGGATTTTATGTTTGTGTTTTATATTTAATATACATCATGAATCTGCTTTAAAATTTTATGTTATAATAGCGTCAACGCACGTTTATTTCGTGTTATAAAGTCTGCAGAGTCCCTCGGAACTGTTGAAGCCCTTGCCCTACCGGGCTTGGGCACCAGCCGTTCCTCGGGACTCTGCAGACGTTATAACACGGAAAAACGTGCGTTAACCCTATATTATTCCTTTAAGTTAAGGTACAAGTTATTTCTGAATTCTCTTGTTGTTTTATTAACCAGTTGAATTTGTTTAATGGACTTGCCCTGCATTGAATTGTAACAGTTCATTTAAATGTTTCAGTATCAGAATGGAAAACTTGATCTGTGGTCAGTATGGTGTCTTGTCAGACAGCTGGCCTGGCTCATCTGGCTAAACACTCAAGTTTCATGGTTTTTGCAGTTTAAGGTTGAAGCACTGATAATCATTAAGCACCTCACTGTTTCTCTCACATCTTTTGTTTCAAACCTACTATTTTAAAGTGTGAATGAAACTTTGTGACATGTTAAAGTTAAATAGGAATAAGTAACAATAAGCAAATTTCAAAGGGAATGGAAATAGATATTTTTGAAACTCGAATATGTCAATTTATAAAAATAATAAATAGAGGATATTAAATGAGTGCAGTTTAATACTAGATTTATTGAACGAGTTGAATAAAATCATATTATGTGAGCCTCTGGCGAGCATAATATTGTTTTATTCAACGAGTTCAATAAATTTAGTATTGAATCTACAAGAATGTAATATTCTATTTATCACATTTATAAAATAAGAACAGTAAACTGTTAAAATGGGTAATTTTTCAATGACGCGCCCATAGTGTAACGCTAACATAAGCGCGCTTTAACATAACGCAAATGACGTCATGTCAAAGTGTTATTACACTAGTGTAATATCGTTTTTATTAAATGACTTTATTACACTTTTGCGTCGCGGTTTATGTGATAAATGACGTTATGGGTTATTTTCTCATGCCTGCAATCATTAATATAATTGCGTATATTATAAATGTTGAAAAAGATGAGTTTTGGCCATGTTGCACTGGTGGAAACCCCAGGGTTATAGTGTGGTGAATGTGGGGCGGTGGGCAGCTGGTGGGTGGGGAAAAACTTTCGTAACAGTTTTCTTAGTAACTACTTATCACAGCCCCTTGATATTTGGCATACAGCATTGACACAGGGTTCCATACTGTGGGATTTGATTTCAGGTCTGTCGTACATCCACTTCCTGTTTAACAACTTAGTTAAATTTTTGACATTAATGGTCAGTGGTAGGAAATTTTTCTCAGCAACTACTAATCACAGCCTCTTGATATTTGGCATACAGCATTTACACATGGTCCCATACTGTGGCATTTGGTTTCAGGTCTATCGTTCATTCACTTCCTGTTTAACAACTTAGTTAAATTTTTGACATTAATGGTCAGTGTTAGGAATTTTCCTTAACAGTTTTCTCAGCAACTACTTATCACAGCCTCTTGATATTTGGCATACAGCATTGACACATGGTCCCATACCGTGGGATTTGATTTCAGGTATGTCGCTCATCCACTTCCTGTTTACCGACTTAGTTAAATTTTTGACATTTAAATGGTCATTATGGTTAACATTTTTTGTAACATCACAGCCTCATGATATTTTGTATACAAATGCAACCCGGCCTTTCCTGTCTTTGACCCATTTTTTTTTGTCAATACAAGATGACTATTGTCTTTATTATTTTTATAGTGTTTGAACATTTACCCTCGCCCCACAATCAACACTGACTCTGTGCTGGCTTATCAACTGTTATCTCAATATGAAAAATTGATTTTATTCTTTTGTATTTTTTGTTACTTGATCACTTGTACAGAATTATTTTATTCATCGTTCTACTAAAACTTTCCCTTCCAGATGCATATAAAGCAAACTGAATTATTTTTTAATGAACTGGTGTGGACGAATAGAATACTCACTGTCTTTGGATTGAAATTTAATACAAATTAATATGGAAGTATTATACTTAAAGTGAACTGGTTTATAATGAAAGGTCTATAGTACGAGGGGTGTTCGGGAAGTTTAAGAACTTTTGCTGTAGTTTAATAAATAATAGGAATTGAAAAACAAGAAAAACACCATAAAATATTTAATTCTTTTACAGCCAGCTGTAAAAATTACAATGAAAAACATTAAACAATAAGTAAATTACAATTCTAACACTATCGGAATTTTTTCTATAAAGACAAAGAAGGCCGGAAGCGTGCATTATTCTACAACAATGCACTCGCCGTTCTTATTATCTCCCTGTGTATTTCCACATTGAAGGCGCCATTTTGTTTAAAAAATCTGATAAATTAAAACAATTTTTGTCGAATTTTGTTGTGAAAACTATCTAGAATGAAAGAAAATGGTCTAACTAAGAAAATTAATCCGAACACCAATATCTTAAATTCAGTCGTTAACGCTTTACAGACGTTTAAAGTGTTGTTTACGTGACGTCACAATGTAGCGCCAAACAGCACGTGCAAAACAATCAAATCAAGTACGCTATTTTAATGTCGCAAACGAGTTTAGTTTTACATTTATTTCACTTTTAATCATTTGTATTTCGCTTGGAAAATTATAAACTGAAATAAATAAACAAACAAAGTTGTATCAACGTTTTCAAAATTCGTTATTTTCAAAATGTTTCTACACACGGTAGATTTAACGACAGTTTTTTTCAACCCACTGGAACAGCCTTTAAAGAACGTTTCTATTGGAAACTCTGAGGCGAAAACAAATTCAACCACCAAACATAAAGTCCAACGTTATAATAATAATTATATTTTTTCTTGACGTGTTAGAATGGAAATAGATATCAATTCTTCGTGCATTATTGTATAATAATGCAAGTTTTTCGTTCAAATGCTTTGTAATTAATCACTCAGGCCAGTATTGGCCTTCGTGATTATATTACTACGCATTTGGACTCAAACCGTGCATTATTCTACAACAATGCACTCAGAATTGATATCTATTTCCTAAATAAAACAAAACATACACGTCAGTGCTAAATATGTTAACGTCAAATTTCCCCGATATCGACTCACTTCTCGACGTAATCTCCATTCACAGCGATACATTTTCTATGCCTCTTGAACCATTTGTCGTACCTGTCCTCGTACCAGATGTTGTCGAATGACGAAACTATTCTCTGGGTTTCAATTTGTAGTTCCAACCCGGAATCAAAGCGTCGACAATGCGGCTGTGCTTTGATTTCCGGAAAAAACTCGAAAATCCATCGGCGCGAGGTCCAGGCATCCTCTATTGACTCTCTTCCATTTCGGAACATGTCATGCCGTCTTAATACTAGTGATTTACAGCATTTCTTTGTTGTACTAGATGATACATTTCCGTTGGTGTCTTTTCTATTCCTATACAAAACTTGATGATTGCCCTGACTTCAACGTCGCCTATTGACGTCATTTTTCTCTTGATTTGTGTAAGCACCAGTGATGTTAAAACTGTTGTTATTCAAACCATTGTAACGATTTACAGGTAGAATTTTCAGGAAATGACGTTGACGTTGTATTTAACGCTCTTGCTTTTTCTTGAAGTTATCCATTGAAATTTAAGAAAATTATAATCAATTAAATATATCGGTACCATTATCATAAATACGATAAAATCTGAGTGCTCCAGGTATGCATTATGCGGTTCCTATAGAAACAAATTTTGAGCGTATTTGTCTATTCTTGTTAGTAAGCGTTATACTACATATTGAGCACATATTTAAATAACATTTTGTGAAATATGGATAAAAACGCACCATAAAGGAAAAAAATACAGCAAAAGTCCTTAAACTTCCCGAACACCCCTCGTACAATTGATACTAGTAGATAATATTGATAGTATTTAGCATCAGACATAGCAACAAAGCACAAAGTAATTATTTAGGCGCTGTTGTTGGTAAATGTGAGATACATGGATGGACATTATCTACATTACATAGCAAATAATAAAACGTTCTAGAACAAAATATTATGATTTATCATATAAATGGTCACTTTATTTCTTGTAACTTTTATCAACAATCTTTTTTCTAGCCATAATTTATAAGAATATTCAAATGATACATTTCTATTGCTAAAATTTATCATTATTTGAAATAGTTTTGGAAAATTTGCCAATTATAGACAAACCCATTTTAAATTTAAAGTCTTAGATTTATGCTAACAATAAAGCTGTAAGAAAATGCTGTTGTTTAATCATGGTAATAATTTGGCAAATAAAAGACAAAATAGAATGTGTTCTCATTATTTAAGGTGCCGAATCTGACGCAGCTGATATCATTTCCAGTGCCGGGGAAGGTGGGAGTGCCGTCCAACATTTGTCAAGGCAAGTGGCATTTATGAAGCGTGAATATGAGAAACTAAAATTAGAAAAACGTCAAATGAAGGAACATTACGAGAAAATTCAACAGACAGATATGTCGAAAAATAAGAAAATTAATGATCTAACTAAACAATGTGCAATATTTCAGGAGCAGTTGGAACGCTCAGAAGGTGATCTTAAACTCTCCGAAAAAGAGGTTGAAATGTTAAAAAACAAAAACAGGAAGTTACGAGATAGACTTAAATCAGCAATAAGTCCTAGTTCTAATCCAGGGAGTTCAAGTTTTACAAATTTATTGGACGAGAGTATGAAACTGCAGGCATTTTCTGCATCGACACCAAAATTAGAACACCCGGAGGGTAGCCAGAATATTGACTTGGACTTGACACCAGACTTGTTCACATCACCTGTTCAAAATACACAAGCTGAGCATTCCGAGAAGCCCAGTTCTTCCTGTGATACTGCTTTATCTGAAAGGTCATTTGGAAAATCCCAGAAAAGATCGCGTGATAGCGAAGACACAGAAAACCAGGAACAAACAAAATACCTCAAAATAACGTCTGCAGCGGAGAAAAATGCTCAAAAGTTGAAACGTATCAAAAGTGAAAGTGCTATCAAAGGTTCTAATTCTATAACAACATTAGCTTCCATGAATATATTTAAGAAACGTGAACTTGGGGAGCGCAGTAACAATCAACGTAGCATTATACAGAAGGGTTTTGACGGCCTTGGGGGTCATACTACGCATATAAACCCTATTGGAAACCCTTTTAAAAAGCCGACGGTCAAGAAAAGCTCTAGTCAAAGTAAACTGTCCAAGTTCAGTAAAACACCATCGTTACCAAAACTTGATAACTTTGTGATTATTGATGATTAGACTTAAATTGTAGCAGTTTTCTAGATTACTGACATGTTGACTTGAGAATATAATTATACATTTTATATATAGAATCATCGTTACAGAGATAGTATGCTGAAATGTGTCATTTACTATCATAAAACAGCAATTGTTATAAGGCTATAGTGTTTGCATGCCAGTTGAATTGATTTCATTCCAATAGTTAGTTATTTAATGGTATAATTCTAAAGAATAGATGTGATAACGTTTCCTATTTTTGCTCTTATATTTTCACTGGTACTTTACACTTAATATATTTTCACTGGTACAGTAAAAAACTCTGAAAAACAGGACCCTGTCTGGACAAGGCCAAAAGTCTGGTTTTCAGATGGTCCCTGTTATCAGAGATTTTATATTACAGTCATCTTTTATTTATAACAATATCTTTGTAAATGGTCTTCTGTTTTCTTTTTTCTATGTTTATGATATTCTAAGAACCAGAATTAAATAAGTTATTAATGACAACAAAAATAAGTTCATTTTAAACTTTACTTTTTTATTTCATATAAAATTATTTATTTAATAAATAATCACATAATAATGACAATTTTGCACTAGTTAACTGTTCTATGAGCATTTTCATAACATTATATATTGTATGTAATGTGTACAATATGCATATATTCATCTTGGGTAATGTGAATTTAAGTTCATACATAATTATGATTAAATCATGTTAAAACAATTAATTGACATGCAATGTAACAAACATTCATTTAATTTGTGAACATTTATTGATGTATTCTTTGAGTTTACAGTGTTTTTCCCCCCTTCTTTTTGGGGGAAGGGGGTTGAGGCCCTTTTGAGGGGTAAAATGCAATAGGAGGGGGAATTTTATTTCTTCACAATTGAGGAGAAACGAAAAAGAATCCAGTGCATATTTTAATATACCACTTACCACTGTAAGATTTACTGTTTGTGCGACATTGTTTTTTCTTTCCGGTGGAAAAGGGGAGCAACTCTTGCAACACACTCTTTTTCTTGATATATGGATCTAAAATATCGACACTCATCACTGTGGGTTCGAATCCAGACAGGGACTTTTTGAATTTTTTTCATGTGAGGGAAGCTATCCAGCTTGCTTACGAAACATGGGTGGTTTCTACTCGGGTACCCATTTGTGCCTTTGAAATAATGGGTGGAAGGGCACCTTGAGGTCTTCCTCTACCAGTAAAGCTGGAACGTCGCCATATGAACTTTACTGTGTCGGTTTGTAATAACATTAAAACTCAATAAAAACAATAAAAGAAATATCGACAGCAGAATTTTAAACTTGCTGAGACGCCCTGAGTAGCTCCCTTTACCTACTCGGGAACGATTTGTAAACAACCTTGCTTAACAGTAAGTCTTTCGGCAGTTAGTGGCAAAAAAATGATATTCATTGCAGGCAAATTCGGGCTGCCGTATGGGGAAAAATTTCGGCTTTTACTATGCTATTATATTTTCACTGGTACATAGTTTACACAGGTTAATGGTACATAGTTTACAAAGGTTAATTGATATGAAACTCACCTGTTAGTATCTGCACATTCATAGTCCTTGTAATTTATTTTTATTTACCAATCTACATCTGATGAAGTTATTTATAGCTACAATAGACATTTTACATATTGTAACTATTAATTTTTGTTTGTTTTCTTTTTCTTTTAGTTGTTAGACTAGAAGCTGAGATTGAAGTTATCTTTTGGTTCTTCACATATCTGTTTCTAAAAAGATTGTGAGGGGTATAATAGTTTAGTCCAGCAGTGATGTTTTTCACTTAATTGGAAGAGGCCTTAGCCACTTGATTTTGGGAAAAATTATCTCTAAGATTGCTTATTTGGGAAGTAAAATAGCATGTTTAAGTTAAGATTTTTGAAACGGCATGATTTTAAAGAAAATTTCAATTGGGAAGAGACCTTTTATCAGAGTGTGTTATATCAGCAGGAAAATCACTGTCCATTCTGAAATTTTTGAATTATTTTTGCTGATTTATTTATGAGAAACTAGTGCTAGATATCCTTGTTTACCTTGTTACATGTGGGCTTTATTTTGAATCAAGTTTAATTGATTAACATTTTGTCTCTCATCTAAGACTTTAAAACAGTCTGTCATTACTCGTTATGACCTTGACTGTCGGGGTAAAATTATGAAATTTAGCTAAATTGTTACAACTTTATCATTTATTAATGGATTTGATTCAGGAATAACCCTTATGATGAAACCAACTTGTTAAATAGTTAAGTTATGACCTTGACGTTTTTGTAGTTTTATGAGCTACCATGCTTTGTGTATTTGCTAGATAGCCATTAAATCTGATAATGATGATATACATTATATATTTTATAATAAAAATATTACAAATATCATAGCAAACTAATAGTTGTTGATCTTGTGTTTTTATGTGCATCCAGAGTATGGAGAGGGGCGTCCCTGGCCGAGTGGTTTAGGCTGTTGACTTTAAACCACTTGCCTCATTGCTGTAGGTTTGAGTGGCATGTGCTTTGTCAGATTCTACATGTGAGGAAGCTATCCAGCTAGCTTACAGAGCGTCTGTGGTTCAACTCGGGTTCCTATTTGTGCCTGAAATAATGTACATTATATAAGCACAGCGGAGGAAGTGTTACACAATGGATGGATTTCTTATGATAACTTGTCAAGGAGTTCTTGTGATAACTGTCACAGAGTTTGTCGGAAAACTATTGTATATGCTGCAAAAACTCTTGTCAAAAATGGTAATTTTCATCTTTAAAAAGTGAGTTTTAGGTGCTAAATTAATCTCTGATGATTAAGCTTGCCTTACATATTGTATTATGTGTCAAAAACTAATTCATAGTCTCTTGCTTAAAATCTGGTAGTTTTGAGTAAAATTTTCAAATTAATTGCCATTTCACAAGTATTGGCCTGTTTATTTCAAGTCTACATCCTTGCCATACATAATAACCTAATTATAATGCAAAATTGCAAACATAAAGCCCCGAATAACAAATTTATACCCGATTTTTCAAATGTCGGGGAGTTCTTGTGATAACTCAAAATATGTCCTGGAGTTCTTATGATAACTTTTGTTACTGCCAATGTGTTTCTTGTGCTAAATCACGTCACGTTTTAGCTTTTTTTATTATTCAGTAAGGTTGTAAACCATTATAAAATGAAGTACAAGTTATCATAAGAACTCCATCCCTCATGTAACACTTTCTGCTCCGTGATAAGGGGCACCTGAGGTGAAACTGGAAAGTCACCATGTTACCTATATTGTGCTGGTGTGATGAAAATCCAACCAAATAAAAACAACAAAAGAACAGAGTATGAAGTGGTCTATCCCTCAAACTTTCTGTCACACTGACTAATTGTATCTTATAGTGCCTTTATTTATGTACAGATAATTGTAACATGTTTGAGGTTTTTCATGAACCACTATTGGACAAGGGGTTTCATATTTGAATAAGTTTTTAAGGGTAAAATACTATATCTCTTGAAATACTTTTATAAAATACACAGTATAGTAAAATTATATTGTTTCCATAATCTTCTGATCGATTCACGAAAAAGTTGTGACATAAAATGTCTCTAGTATTTAACACACATGAATATTGTAAGTAAAAAGAATAACATGTTCCAGGACAAAATATTATGCTACTTTTTTAAGCAAGATTTTAACTGTTTAGCAATGATCTTGTGCATGTGCCATTTTCTTTTACGGCATTTAATATATCACCATATTTCTTTCATGCAGGCATTTAAGAGGTATTCACATTAAAATTTAAACAATCATTTTTGCAGTAGATAAATTATAAAGTAGCTGTCACTGATGTGCAAACCATTGATATTTTACTTAGTATAATTATATTATTAGTAAATGCTCTAAAATTATAATATTTTCTTTCAAGGTCTGTAAATTTTATTAATGACTGCAGAATATAATTGAATGTCAAGACTCGTATATCTTTCATGGATTTCGAGTGAAATACTCCCATTGTGAACTTACAAAATTCTTGGTTATAAAATTCTGCATTCAAATTTCTCGTCACTATGTAAAACTCATATATAGTGAAATCTTTGTTTTGTAATTTCTACTTAATCAATGCTCCTTTTTTTACTGTCAAGCACTGAGAATAGTTGCGTAACCCACTTCAACATACAGCTTTTGATTTGTACAGAATTTATTTTAGTTTGATTGTGTAGGAAGCTATAGACACAATTACGAATTCTGTTCCTGGAACCAACCAGCACTGAGCAGTGAGTGTAAAATTCTTGCTCAATAAGACAACGACTTGCCCCTTAGGGGTTTGAACCCATGGGGCTAGCGATCATTAGAATACTAGTCCCACATGTTAAACACTTGGCCATGCCGTCAAAACTTACTTCAGCTTTTGTTGATAAATAAGTCTACTTTAAGAAATAAGATACATGAAAAATGCAATTAGATGGAAAAAGATGTTTCTGACATTAAATGAAAGGATTAAAGTGAAGAATCCTTCCCCCAATAAGTGGGTGTATACAATCTGACGAGATTTGTCAGATGTCACAAATAAAACTTTTATGTATAATATCTAAAGAATGCTTAGGGTTTAAAGATGAAGTGGGAAGATCGATCATGACTAGAAGATGACCCCTGTCAGTTGGAAAAAGGTCAAGGTCACTATGACATTTATCTTAAAAGCTTGTATGACCAATAACTAAACAATGCTTTGGGTTTAACTTTAAAGATTAAGTGAGGCGATTGATCATGACTTGTGCATGACCCATACTGATTTGGAGGTCAGTTGGTCAAAGGTCAAGGTCACTGACCTTTACCTAAAAAGCTTGTCTGACAAATAACTAGAAAATGCTTCGGGTTTCACTTTAAAGAGATTGATCATGACTAGTACATTACCCCTACTGATTCTGAGGTCAGTTGTACAAAGGTCAAGGTCACTATGACATTAACCTTAAAAAGCTTGTCTGACAAATAACTAGAAAATGCTTCGGGTTTCACTTTAAAGAGATTGATCATGACT